CTTCGTGGCCAGGGTGTGATAAGGTCCATAGAGAAGCACATGTTTCTAATGATAATTGAGTTTTTGGTTCACATATTGGCCTGAAGATGCAAAATTAGGTATGTCTACCATAAAATGTGAACATTAAATATGTGAGCTGAACAGTTTTACCCCTCAGTGCTATTTCTATCCAGTGTCTTTAGGTACATGTGTTTCCAAAGGGTTTCTGGATGGCAAGCACACACCAATACAAAAATAATATGACCCATAAATATCCAGTGCCAGCCACACTACAGGATAGAACTGGTACCATGTTAAAGGTGCATCATCACATCTATTTTGTATTTGTCATTGTGTGTGTGCATATGTTTAAAGGGGCTGGAATCCTGTTCAGTAAGCTATTCTGTATGATCTCTTAACTGCTGGGGTTTCATGTTTACAGACATTAATACACTGAGACAAGCAGTTGTGGCAGGACCTCAAAAAGGTTTCTCCATCTGCCTGTTATTGATATACCCCATGACCAGGATAGCACCACAGATGTCATTTCCAGTGCTCCAGTTTGCAACACTTTGAAAACCCCTTGGTTGAGGCACTGTCAGGCTGACAAAGTAGTGTTTGGGTGGCATAATCAGATATAACTATAGTGATGAAGCTGCATCATGGTAGTTATATATGACAATGCATGACCTCAGCCAGAACTTTTGAAATAGATCCCATAATGTTGTGAAAATAGAGAAAAGAAAGAATGGGAGGAAAGACCCAGGCAAGTGTTTATGTGTACCCAACGATACACCTATGATTATATCAATGCAAAGGTATAGGATTATACCTATGAAACATTGCATTTTAATAACATATTGCCAGTCACCCCCATGCAGCACATAACTCACTCACTCCAATGGCACCATTAAAGGATAATAACACCATTGCCTGAGAAAGCATAGTGGCTTCATAATCAGAGTGGCTAACTCTGGGGACTTGCCCAGCCAAGTATTCCAAAACTTATAGGATCCTTGGACACCTTTGATCTTTCTTTATTTTTCCCCTAATCCTAATGTGTACAGGTAGATCACAAAACACTTTGCCTTTGAATGTAAGAGTAGACAAAACCCCATGTAGTTTCTAAGCTCTTACCCTTAAGATGGATGGTAAGCTGAATAATATTATCTATAATTTCAGAACAAAGAGGATTTGATCCACTTCCAGGGCTGAATTCTTGGAATTCACTGATTCATCTGTTGCATTGTTCCTCATACTGCAGAAGCTTCTAAATGCCCAGATCTATAGGAGTCCTGGTGGCGCAGTGGTTAAATGCCTGTACCGCAGCCACTCACTCATAAACCACAAGGTTGCAAGTTCAATACTAGCCAGGGCTCAGGCCTGCATCCTTCCGAGGTCGCTAAATGAGTACCCAACTGTTGGGGGGCAATAAGCTTACAGTTGTAAACCGCTTAGACATCCCATAGCGCAATATGAAGTGGTATATAAATGAAGTTGCTTTGCTTTGCTTTGCTAAATGCCCAGATCTATAAAGTCTCAGAGGTAAACTGTCTGTTTTGTCCATGCTGTGGGAACAAACTTTCAAAAACACTTCTAAAACTGAGACAAAGCAACAGTTACTCCAGGTTTCCCTGGTCTGACACCCTCCAGAGGTGTTGGATCATGGCCCCTATCCTCCCAAAACAACCTGGAAATGGCATAGTCCATCACCCTATCAGAGTGACAGAAGACTGAAGGGTAAGTTTCTCAAGGCACAGTGACGAGCCATAAAGAGCATGTCTGTTCTAAGGCAAATTGAAAGACTAAAACTGTTGAGAACCTCACAACATGGGAGAACGACATCCCAAGGAATGAATAGCAGGAACAGTTGATTGCTTATCACACCAAAATCATAATGTGGAATCTTTCCATTCTTCCACCCACAAGTGGATTGTCACCACCTCAGGACAGAATTCAAAAAATGTACGATCCATCATAACACCAGCCAGTTCCCATTCAGATGCCCTTTTGATCAATGATAATTGAAACAGACCAAAGATTCCAAAATTTAACCATCAGTTCCATCTCAATTAAAAAGTCCACATCTCCCAAACAATATACTCAAGGAAAGGTTCTTCTGCATGAGGAAACTTGCTTTCATATGGGTTGACATATGAATATGTGAGTAACTGGTCTATACCCCACCCATCAGGAAAGAAAGGTGGAGCCAATTTCAAATACTCTGTACATAAATATGTTCAGCCAGCTCTCAGAGGCTGGCTTTTCTTCACATGTCCACATGGTTTGGTCCAAGTTGTAAGTGCAGACAGCTTATCAATGTCAAACCACAAGTTTGCTTACCTATCTCTATCTTCATACCCAGGAATGTGAGGGAAGTATATAGAGGCACCCCAGTTTTCTTTTCCCTTAGCAACCAACATTCCAACATGAGCCAACAATTAATCAAAATTCTTAATAAACTGCACAGTTGTACATGTGCATCCATCCCCAAAAACAAAAAAAGCAAGCATTCATCCAGATAGTCCACTACAGAAGAAACAGTGTGTGGGAGGGGAGGCGTCCTCCACATGTTTTTCGACTATAAGCCCCATAATCCTTGACCATTTAACATGCTGGTTGTGGGGGCTGTAATTCAAAAATCTGAAGAGACAATACCAGATTGCCTGCTTCTATAACTATTTCTTGAAGTCTATTCAAGTATATATACATGTAAAAGATACAGCCAGAAATAGAACATCCTAAGGGGAAAGCACTATCAACTTATTTGTCATTATGTTAACATTATATCAGAGCACATGAAGTGGGTTTCATGGCCAAGCCGGGAACTGAACCCAGGTCTCCAGAGTTGTAGTCCAACACTTAAACCACTACACCACACCAGCTCTCATAGAGACCATGAAAGTCCCCCCAGTCCCCATTTACTGGGAAGCAACTGCTGTGATTGATTGGTGTCTGTTTCCATGTCAGTTAGGAAGAAACTGACTGATGTTCCCACATCCCTTGCATGAACCACCTCTGGCACAAGGGGGAATCACAACAGGGGTCACGTTGGAGATTGCTCATGGAAGGGGATGGGTCCATCAATCAGCTGCTTCCTGAGCAACAGGAGAACAGACTCCCATTGGTCACAGCAGTTGCTTCCCAGTAAGTAGGGATTGGGATGGTTGAGCCAGGATTCACTCCATAGCACTGCAGTGACAATGCTTACGCATATGTAAATTCCATACAGGATTCCAATCATTAGCATTAATATACTGGCAGAGGCCCAAGAAAGATCTTGAAATGCTTTGTAAAATCCTTCTATTAAAATTCAGTATCTTCATTTTAAGGATAAATAAACCCTCAGGCAAAGTTCCAAACAGAATTGGGACCACAATCTTGGCCCAAAGCACTGCCATTCCCAACAGATGCCCTAGCAGTCCTGGTGGCATGGCCAAGAGTGCATTGGTATGCAAAGGATATAGCCAACAGGTCCATTCCTTCCATTGCCCTATAAACATACTGTCACAGGCATCCTGTTAGTGACATATGCACACATACATTTCCCTTACATATGCATATGTCCTTTCGGGGGCACTACAGGGGCTGGTATGCCCTTCATCCTTCACAACCTCCAACTCTCCCCCTGAAGCCCCTCATGCTTTGTGGGGAGTGGGCACGATTGCAGAGGTGTCTGGATATGCCCTTCTTGCCAGATGCATCAATAGTGACATCTGCCATGGTTCTCTGGAGGTCTCAGCACTCCTCATTTCCCATCTGGCCACAGTCATGTAGCCAGACATATCTGCAATCCTGCCTGCTCCCAATAAAGCATGGAATGGTTGTGTAGGGGGCTTCAGAGGCTATTTGGTAAGTTGGGAGTGGTTTATGGCTCAGCCTAGCATAGGTCTGCATGTAGAACTACTACACCACAAGGAGGCATACAGGATTGTGGCCACTACATCCAGTGACATTTGTCCACATCTTTCACTGTGCAGGGTTCCTCCCTCCCTCCCTCCCTCCCTCCCTCCTCTATTGTTATACCATTGACTTGTTTTAGATTGCTATAATGTAAAAGGTTGTGATTGCTTGGCATATGTACAGCAAGACATGAATAATTCTGCTGCGGATTTAATCCAGCATCAGCAACATGTTATGAAATTCAAGACAAGGGTTGCAAGGTATGTGTCAAATATATGTGTCCATCTCTGAGTTATCAAAATGTTTTCAATACACCCATAGAGGCAGTTTGAATATGTTTTAGATAAGTAAATAGCAACCGTTTATCTCCTGATAGCAAAAAAAAAAAAAAAAAAAAAAAAAAGACAGAGGAGTAAATATATCAGATGATAGGCAATTCACATCCAGATGTGGCAAAATAGGCATTTCCAATTATCTACCTATATTAGAAATGCCATACTCTTTATTTGACCAATAGAGTTTTGTGGTATTTGAGAGGAATCAGATATGAATTTTGTGGATTTTTATTTTGGTGAATGTTTCAAACTCTATTAGCATTGGAAATTTAATTCCAGTGTAGTTAGTTTCACAGTATGGTGAATGGATGGACAGCATGATGTACAATTTGACCCAATATGTTTTTAAAAATTGAGTAAACAATATTAGAATGCTAAAGTCCTACATATACAAATTCAAAATGTGTAGACCACAGTGCTAAGAACCTTAAAGCAGAAGCTGTTCTACTTCTCTGAGTTATAAGACAAAGGATTTTCAGAGTACGGACAGTAGTAATATATCATTCAAAGGCAACAAAATTAAGAATGGGCAAGAATTCTTTCCCCTAAAATTACACATCATTACAAAGATATCAGTGTCCAGGAGAAATGTGTCTGTTTTCCAAGAGCTGTGTCCCAACTCACAGTGATGCTTGAGGTGCACTGGTGCCGATGTACATGTGCATAGTTTCATATTGTCCTATAGGAAACAGCAAGCCATAGGGATTTTCCCCCCAGTGGAGGGCATAAACAATCCAAGCAATGTAGGAGCTTATCACACTAGGCAATTGCAGTGCATTTGCATCTGAATAATAGTGCCTTCTGGATTTGCTGACTGGGCAAAGCAGAGCTTGCCATGCACCTGTGCCTCTCTCAAAAACTGGGTGGCACGTTTGGGGAGGGAAGAGGAAAAAGGGGGAGGGAGGGCAGTGAAGGGGTGACAAAACTGAGGAGCCCTGGTGGCACAGTGATTAAATGCCAGTACTGCAGCCATAATGTTGTGAGTTCGATCCCAGGGCTCCAAGGCTGACTCAGCCTTCCATCATTTTGTAGTTTCAGTAAAATGAGTACCCAGCTTGTTGAGGGCAATTGGGTTACAGATTGCAAACCACTTGAGAGTGCTTGGTTCACTATGAAGTGGTATAGAAATGTAAAGTGCTATTGCTATTGGCATGGTTTGTATCTTTAGCTGGCGTACAGTGGAGAGAGGGTAAAGAGAGAGTGGGGAGAAGATTAGGGATGGCAAGTGTGGAGGGTGAATGTGTGGATGTCTGGGTGTCTGAGCCCTGGGTGGAGTTCCAGTTCATGCAATGAGTATCACCAAAGCCACTTCCTTCCCAGTGTTCTCATGTTTTAAAAGCCATATGCAGTAATGTGCTAAGATAGCAATCTCACTTGAAAATCTTTCTTACAGATAACACAATTTTGCAATGCAAAATTGTTGCACTATAGGATCCTTGTGCGCAAAAACATATTAAGGCAAAACTGTCAATTTAACAATCTGTAAGTTTCTCTGAGAGCCTTTGTGGCTGAAGAGCACAGTATAAATATTCTAAAAATGAATAGTTGTGAAATATGGCAAGCAGCAGCTTGAGACACATGCATTGGGAGGACCCTCATGATAGAGAACAAGATATGCAAACACCACTATATTGTTATGCTGATTCTACTTGCATGGGCAGTGGGAAGTGCCATTGCTGTAATGTTTCCCTGGATTTGGCTTCCTTCCAAAGGAGTTCACTGGAGTCTTATGCCAGTTTGTAATTTTTATTTACAAATACACAGTCTAAGCTTAGTTGGAGACACTGTTTAACATAAGCACTTAAGAAGAGCCCTTAGAGTGCTGCCCCAGCAATTCTGTCAAACCTTGCTAACAAGCCTCTTTGTTAGTTGAAACACACTGATGAGCAAAAAAGTTGTCTCCATCCTGAATACTCCTTCCATCAACTCAGTGTGCACTACAAGACAAAGCTGAGTAAAGCCTTCATATGTTCACAATGGATTAACTCATGGGTGTCGTTATGGAGAAGTGGGGCAAAATGGGGGGATTGGCGCATTCTGCCCCTCCACCTAAATTTTCCTTCAGCTCCCAAATTTCTAGCACTGAAGTAACTTAAAACATCAGATGAGCATGTAGGAATACAGTTTTGACATCTAAGGAAAGGGACAAAGTTACCAAGGGAATGTAAACACAACAAAAATAAGAGTTCTAAGTTTGAACAATTTTCAATGTTTTACTGCCTGGAATGTTAGAAATTTGGGGATTGATGGAAAATTGTATTGTGGGGGCAGAATTCATATTAACTAAGGGGGGTTGCAGACAGTCAGAAATAGTGCAAATTCAGTCCACTTTTAGGGTTAGGGTTAGAGCTAGGGAATCATGGGAATTGTTTTTTTTCTGAGACATTGAGCCTTCTCTGTCAGAGAGCTCTAGTGCCACAATAAACTACAGTTCCCATGATTCCCTAACCCTAACCCTAACCCTAAAAGTGGACTGAATTTGCACTTTTTCTGGCAGTCTGCAACCCCCCTAAATTCTATTTTGTGATGCTCATATGATGTATACAACTGTCAAAGATGTCAGGACCAACATACCAATCTTTGAGACAGGGACTGGAGTCATGTTGCTGACATATGCACACAGATTAATGCACATAGACACCATTTTGAAAGAGGTATTCAGTATCTCTTTGGGCAATATCCACTCCTCAGCCACCCCACCCCACCACCCCACATTTTCCACATGTCTTGGTGCAAGGAAGTTGCTTTTCAGGGGCATAAAGTATGCAGAATGTGGACTCCATTATGCTATAATAAAAGATCCCAGAAAGGGACACCTGAATCTAGAAACAAATACACTTTATCTGAAACTGATAGATTAGTTTAGTTTAGTTTAGTTTAGTTTAGTTACCTTCTGCAGGCAGCAACTTCTAGAGAAAGTATTGGTATATTGCCTAACTCAGCTCTTCTGACAGCAAGTGCTGGGTATCCTCATCCTCTTTCAAAAGTTGGATAGAAATTGTGTCGAGATTGTGATGAGCAGCCTTCCTAGGAATCCTGGTTATCATTATCTTGGAGTTACCAGTAGCTAGAAAAGAAGGACAATGACAAACTAATTTGGGAATAGACTAGTAGAGTGGCAGATAGAAGGGGAACTGGTGGCCACTGGAGAAGCAGGAGACCTTCCAAGCCCAATCTTCTTCTTGGCATGTATCCATGGGGAGAGGGGGGGAAGCAGGAGGGCTGGCCCCCACAAATATCCCTCTGCCATTTTCTTCCAGGTCATCAACAGACTGGTTCAACAGGGAGACTTTTAAATAATGTATTTACAAGTATTCATTCAACTCTGCTGGTCACGCTCATGATACCCAAGCCACCAACTCAGCATTTCTAACTACTGACCAGTCGTCTTGCACAGAGCCCCCCCACACACACACTTCTCTCTCTTCCTCCTCCATACACCCCCACACATACCCCCAAGTCTCTGGAACAGTAACTGAAAGAATGTCACTGCTCTGAAACTAACAAGCTTGCACTCTCTTTTCTCTGTTATCCTCAACTATTATTTGTCAGCTTTCAGATCCTCTTCTCATTGGCTCTCTAGAGTAAACGTGTTTACAACATATAGGGCTCTCCATACTCAGGATTGGGGTTACTGCTGCTGCTAT